ACAATTCCTTTTTTGAATCAAGCTAATCAAGAGCTGGACTTGTTTCTTTACCTGTGATTTCATATTAGTGTAAGTTTGTGATACATAGTACATTCGCTGTGGGGAAATGGTACATATCCACGCCAGTCAAAACATCAGGTATGGAACTGCTTCCCCATTCATAGTTTTCTTCCTAGACAGTCTGATAAACATTTGAGTTACTAAAATATATGGAGCCACTGGGCTACATACAGGTTTCTGCTCTCAAAGACCCTTCAGTCTAATAAGATGAAAAGCAGTTCATTCAACTGTAACAAATACAGAGTACCATTAAAAATAAAATTAAGGGGCTGGGGATTTAGCTCAGTGGTGCCGCTGCCTGCCTCACAAGCACAAGGTCCTGAGTTCAATCCCTGGTACCAAAAACAATTTTTTTAATTAAAAAATTTCTAAATGGACTTGGGTTTTGCAACCTGGTATTAGGTAATCAAAGGCAATCCTTAATTTGCTTGATTTCTCCTCATCCACACAGGACCACACTCCTGACCCTGGTCTCTGCCCAGCTTATGCTAATGAGAACATCAACACTGACAGTGGCACCCGAGTACTAGACCTTTGCTCTCACTCTGCTCTTAGCAACCTCCATGTGCACCCAACCTAAACTAACCCGTGGGGAAACCAGCACAGCACCCAAAATAGTGCCTGACATATAACCACCATCAAGGATGGAAGACTGCTGACTCCATTGTTTCAAACTAGGGAAGAAACCTTTCTAATGTAGGGCAATGCAGGGTACGTCTCAGGGTTTGAGTTCAATGCCCCCTCCCCAGTGCCTCCAAGGTCACTAGCGAAAAGGAAATCTTTCAGCAGAGCTTTACTTTCAGCCCTCACCACCTCCAACGAGGAACCATTTAACCCAATAGCTCCAGATGGACCAAAAGAAAGTGCTATAAATTCAAAGGTCCTCACAAGTCCACGTTACTATCAAGTCTCTGTGCACTTTTAAGCACCTCGGCCAATAGTACAGCTACCTTCAGTACTGTATGATGCTAGTAAAATATTAGTTCAATACTGTCTGGTTTTTTTTGTTTTGGGGTACCAGAGATCGAACTTAGGACCTTGTGCTTGGGAGGCAGGCGTGGCGCCACTGAGCTAAATTCCCGGCCCCAGTTCAAGACTGTTTTGTAGGACAGAGAAAACTGACTTGAGTGCAGCACACTGCCACCACCTTTAACCCAGAGACATCCACTCACTTAGAGATTCTAATCCCTTTGTCAAGCCCCTTTCCATGTCATAGATCTGCCCATGATAAAGAAAACACAGATATCATGTTGTGATCTTTATTCCATTAAATGATCTTAAAGTGAAACAGAAACATGCTTTTAATATACTAATAGCATAATCTTATCCCGCTACACTTTTTAAAAACTATTAAATTTTAAAGGCATTCAAAGGCAAGGATATAGCAGAAAGTACTTTTAACAAATCTTTTTCTTTTTATTAAGAAAAGAAAACTAAAGAAAACCCAGGAAAATGTATTTATTTGTTCAAGACTTAACTCCTTTAAGGGTTATATCATGACAGCTTTTATTCATCTGAGTTAGAAAGCTTTGGGAATCAGGGCAACCTTCCCTTGGTTGTAAAAGCACTATTTAGCTCTGGCATATGAAATTCCTTCCCAAATAAAAATTTGTTTCACAACTTTTCTGTCTCTACATCTATCTTGAAAAGTTTCTGCTATCGGGTACTTAGGTCATTATCCAAGTTACAGCCCTGTCCTTTCTTTTTGTTCATTAAATCTGTGGTTTAAGGTTTTCTCTGTGGGTAAGATTTAGGGATTCAAGTCATAGTGCTGAATTTGGCTTCTTAAAAGAAAAACTGCTATCAAAATTGCTTTTCCTTAAAATCCTAATTACATCTGTTAATAAATAGTATACTTGCTACATTCTTTTTCTCCCCACCTCTATCCCCAGAAGGCACTATGACAATTCTGTAAAAGAGCTTTCAGGAGCTTAGACAATCCTCTGGATTAAGGGCACCCTTATTACTCTGAACAGAGTAAACTGGTGGTGATTTCACCTGGCAGTGGACCACCTATCCTGAACCTTAGGTAAAAGCTGTCCACTTGCCTCAATGGCACTTTCTCCCCGTTAATTCCCATCTCATGGAGTAGCTGTCCCTCTGTTGTCTCTGAATCACCTACAGTAATGTGTATAAAAGTGAGGATTTCAGGGCCACAGCCCAGACCACCTGAGGCAAGCTCTGGAAATCTGAATTTTTAAACAAACCTCCTAGATAAGTCTAATGTACTCCAAGGTAAATAAGACTCACTGCTCAAAATGTAACTGCAGTATGACCTATAATGAAGACAACTATTCAGGTTGCAAATGTCTTTTATAATGACATTTTAAAAAGTTAACCACACACTAGGGCCGGGGATTTAGCTCAGTGCTTTCGCCACCTGCTGCACAAGCGCAAGGACCCAAGTTAACCACACAGTTTGTACTTTCATAACTGAGCCTTATTTTCATATTCCCTATCCTTAAGAATAAAATTTTATTGGATCCAAATTAGACTAGAATGATGCAGCCCATGTTGGCTATTTTAAATGGAAACATCAAATCATCCAAAATTATATTCCAACAGTTCTAAAGAAACAAACATGACAGCCAGACACAGTGGTACACTCCTGTAATCCCAGCACTTTAGAGGCTGAGGCAGAATGAATTCAAGGTCAACCTGGGCTACATAGTGAGACCCTGTCTCAAAAAAAAAATAGTAGTTCCATGATGACTTCTACGTAAGTTACATCATTTTTCTTTCCTAGGAAAAAATCAAATTGTTTTACTGTCTTTGCCTGGGCCGAAATAAACCTAATTTCTCTATAATTCATACATACTCATCCAAACTCAACCTACTTAAGGCACAAAATTTATAAACCAGGTAGAACACTGTGTGTGACTTGCTAAAGAAACTGAATGTAAACACAAGGCAGGTTTTTATTTATCTGCCCAAAGTAAGGAAAAGAGAACAGGAATAAATAAAACAAAAACAATATTCATAGGCATTTTACCAAGTATAAAGGTGTTAAAACATAAACCTCCATGGAACAAACAGAATTTTTAGTAAACTGCTTAAAAAAAAAAAGACCCTACTGATGTTTTATCAGCATACATGATAGTTTGTTCTCACCATCTATAAACTTAGTCTAGAGAGATTTTTCAGTGAAAGAACCAAACTTTGATTTTGTTATATTTACTATAAGAACCAAATTGGAAGTACTTTTTTTTTTTGGTACTGGGGATCGAACTCGGGTACTTGCACTTGCGAGGCAAGTGGCAGAACCACTGAGCTAAATCCCTGGCCCTGGAAGTACTTTTTTAAAAACTTAGCAACATTTAAACTTCTCTTGAAAAGAGTTGTTTTACTGGAAATTTTTAAAAAATCACCATTTACATTAATACAATTGTACTCCATTATTGATGGGACTGTGCAAATTAACAATGTGTGCATGGAAGGCCTCCCACAAGTGCCAGAGCAGCAAATATCTGCAGTCTGACCCCTACACAGTGTCTCTGACCCATAAAGAAAAGGCTGGAGAAGGTAACAGGCAAAAATATTCTTCTCAACCTGGGAATAAACTTCCCCAGGACTATTTATAGCCAGAAATGAGGAGGCATCTTTCACTGCAAAAGTTCGTATAAAATCATCTATCTACTGTTAAAACAGAAAAGAGGCCAGAGAACACTCCTGAGAACCCTGAAAACTTTACAAACACTTTCCATAGGCAGAGTAAGTAATAAAGACAAAAAAGGGGAAGCTTCCCTGGAGTAATTAAACCAAGATTATTCTTTTTCAGACAAGAACAGAAGCATTCGATTTAAACAGTAACAAAATCCTAAGACTAGGGCCGGGGATTTAGCTCAGTGGTTTTGCCGCCTGCTGCACGAGCGCAGGGACCCTAGTTCTATCCCTGGTACAAAAAAAAAAGAAAAAAAAAATCCTAAGACTACTAAATCATAAATTCACTTTCTTTAAAGATCTAATACTTTAGTGTTAGGATGAAATTTAGTCGCATCATCTATTCTCGTGGAACCTCTTTGGACAATTATTCTGAAATCCATAAATTTACTTACAGAATATCTTCAAAGCTAAGTATCTCAGCATCTGTAAGGACTGCTAGTAAGAATGAACCTTCACAGAGACAAGATGCCACCTGAAAACGCACCAACATTTCAAAAGCAAGCTTCAATTCATTAGTTCAAAGCCTGGCTTCACTCATAAGTAAGTGAACAGTTTCTAGAACAAGCTGGAATTTTTCTAAAATGTAATAGAAAGTGAATAAAATATCAAGCACTTTAGGGAGATAAACGGGAAAATATATAAAATGCTTAGAATTCAGGACTTACAAAATACTTGAGTGCTACAGTGTTAGTCAAAAGAAAATTCTGAGGGCTGGGGATTTAGCTCAGTGGTTCCACCACCTGCCCTGCAAGCGCAAGCCTGAGTTTGATCCCTGGTACAAAAAAAAAAAATTCTCTGAGAGATTAAATGCTAGAAGAGACTTTCTTTTTTCTACCTTCCATTCATACTTCAGGTATATGAAATTCATACACAGATTGTGCCTAAGCCTTCCTATTTCCCTCCTACAACAAAATTCAAATTATTTCAAAATAAAAAGGCTCAGATACCTGAATGTGTATATAAATACTTACAGGCAAATTTTAAGTTTCAAAATTCATAATAATTCACCACTATAAATCAAAGGATAAAGTAACTAACATATAAAGCTTTTTAGTCATATAATCATAGTAAATTTTTTCAAAAAGAATGTTTAGATACTTGTAGATATTGTCTATGTTTGGGTAGGACATTGGTTCTTCTAAAAACAGTTGTTTGAAAGCTACCAGACTGGTCAGAAGTAAATTTAAAAGAAGAGTCACTAAATAAACAATTTTAGTTTCATTCAGAACATCAGAAAGAAAAAAAAAAAGAACATCAGTCCATAGAGAATACAAATAAACAGTTTGAGCAGGGACCTTAACTTGGGCTATTTATTAATTAGTGGTAGGCCACATGAAATAGGGCATTAATTAAAGGCAATAATATCTGGTGATGTCTTTTCTCTAACCTTTAGTAAAGTCTTACACTTACACAGAACTCTCAAAAATAAAACCTGTCAAATGGCAAGTGTGAGAGCTGCATATAACACATAAACATAGAAACCCACAGTGGCTTTGACCAAGGCACAAGTTCAAGTGACTTATTAGAGGTCACAGGTTCATTCAAAATCAGCTTTTTAAAGTAACTCATTCCTTCCATTATGAACCCCCTTGGCTTTTCAAGGCACATTTGCCTCTTTTCTGAAAAGAAGCTATAGGAACAACATTATCAACAAAAAATAGAGACCAGGTTCAATAAAACCGCCAACCTATCAGGTAAAAGACCTTACATTCCAGAGTATGGTACATTTACATACATGATTTTCCCACATTATATGACAAACAGAAAACCAATATTACAAATAAGATCTTTAAAGCATAATGGCATCATTTCAGTTAATCTTTTTTTTTGGTACTGGGGATCAAACTCGGGTCCTTGCACTTGCGAGGGCAGGCGCCGGAACCTCTGAGCTAGATCCCTGGCCCCATTTCAGTTAATCTTTAGTTCTAAAGTTTTTCCAAGTTTTGTAAACTTTTAAAAAGGAATCCTTCTCAAGAGTAAGGTATAAGAGGGCTGGGGATTTAGCTCAGTGGTTTCTCCGCCTGCTGCGCAAGCACAAGGACCCGAGTTCGATCCCCAGTACCAAAAAAAAAAACAAAACAAGAGTAAGGTGTAAGAGAACTGATTAGTTTCACCTATAAACAGCGTTATTTCATGAGGTTATTCTCCATCCCTTCCCTTCATGTCCACAAAAAGCATAGATTTCATCTTAAAAGGCACTAAATGGCACATAAGAGACTTAAAAGCTGCATTTCCACTTTTTCCTTTAGCTTTTTCTCCCATAAAGTGCACAGAGCAGAGAGTAGTAAGAAAACAGACCTAAATTTGGATCTAACAGCAAAGAAAAGGAATGCTTCCACAGAAATAAAAGCATGTTTAAGAATATGAAGCCACAGGAGAGGTCAATTCATTTATTACAGTGTACTATTGCAGCTCTCCCTGGATGGTCTCAGGCCTGCTGTTCCTCTAGACCTGTGGCCATGGCAGAAACCGAGATTCTAGGGACTGGTCGGGCTCTTGCTGGATCCTCATGTTAAGGCTACTGAGCTTTTTTATCCGCCGGAGATCGCACAACAACTGCATCCCTCACAGCAGCCTGAGTAGAATTACCAATGTGAGAAGAAGCCTGCAAAAGTCCATTTATTCAACATGTAAGTTAATAAAATACAATAAAGCACCAAGAGAGTGAGTCCCTGAAGATAAACTTTTTTTTTTTTTGGTACCAGGGATCGAACTTGAGTCCTTGCACCTGCACAGCAGGCAGCAAAACCACTGAGCTAAATCCCCGGCCCCCCTGAAGATAAACTTTTAAATAGAATATTTCTGTCTCCATCATAGGTGTCTTACAGAAAGCACGGGGTGAGCAAAGGCCGGGGCAATGGCTAACTCCAAAAGTCAGTGGAACATAAGCTCTGTAACTGGGGAGTGAGGGGGGAAGCTCTCCTGGCTTCACAGTATACTAACCTAACTGGTCTGTTCATGTTACTCAGAAAAATAAACCAGTATCAGAGATCTGTAAGTCTAGAGATCATGTCAATGTCAAAAGCCACTGGCTTTTTGAAAGATTTTAAATGAAGATATCACTCATCTGCTAATCTAATAGAATTCAAAGTAGAACATTTTATAATCTACACACATTTTTTACAAAGCTCTTGATTTTTCAGTGAAACAAATTCAGGGGGTGAAGATGAGGAGAATCACAAGGAATTATGTCTGAAGAGCATATAATTAAAGTTTCCTGTGAGGAACACAATGTCTGAGCTGGAACTTTTTGGCATTAAAGGCCCATTTGTAGGCATGGAAAAAAATATTAGGAAGAACTACTGATATCCTGAAGAATAAAATGTAAAGTCCACCAGAAAAAAAATGAACAAGATGCTCACGGCTTTTTTGCTATGAAATTCTTCCAAACTGATACACTGTGTTTTACAACAGAAGCACAAACACACGTCTATCATCAACCCTCATCCTCCTCAGCCCGCACCACTTACCTGCTCTAATATATACGCTGCGCCAGAGTCAATAGCTCCACCCAGCTCGCGGTACTGACCGGAATACCTGATGTACCCCCAGGTAAGGAGTGCTATTAACAGCAGTCCAACTAGGCAGTTGAACAGCTGGGCCACAACCTCAAGACCAACAAAGCCAGTGAGGCCAGAGGCTATATACAAAGCCACAATGCCCGTGAACAGCACTGCAGGGGTTCGGAAGGTGCTAAAAACATTCTTGCTCCCATTGTGCTTGCAGAAGTTTTCGTAGAGTTCCTTGATTTCCTCCTCCAGCTCTTGCTGATAACGAAAACTGAAATCCTTCCCACCCATCTTCTTGGTCTTCTTAAATTGGTCCAGAGCGAGCTGTCTGAATTCACAGTGCTTCTCCTCTAAAATGTCTGGAGACAAGTAAGGCTTCTCTCCCCCGCAAACCTAGAAAGAACAGACACGTTAGGTTGAAAATCTCTTCAAAAACAAGTGCCAAATAAAACAAGTGAAAAGACACAGAAAAGATTTTAAAATATTAGAAGCTAACTTAGAAAAACAGCCAAGGGCAATAAAGTCTAGGTTCACTTTCTCTGATAAGGACACTTAAATAACCAGGGAAATATTAATCTGAAACAGCAGTGAAGGAAGCCCTGGTTAGAAATGGTAATAATGTGAGGACATCAACTGCCAAGATGATGTGAAACAGTCTGCTGCCTCATCATCTTAAGATACATCAGCGAGGATCAAGTTTGGACTTCCAACATTAGCAACAATGCTCGGGGTTTAGATATTTCAGAAAAAGGCCCACCTACCTCTTCCATGTTGTTGTAATAAACATCCTTGGCAGAGGCTGCAGCTGCTAAATTGTTGGCTTCAGCAGTGGCCTTTTAAGAAAGGAAAGGAAATGTTAGAAAATGATAGAAGGTATGGGCTGGGGTAGACCACATTCAAGGCTCTGGATTGCATCCCCAACACCACAAAAATATTTTTTTTTATTTTTCAAAAATAATGGACCGGGGATGTTGCTCAGCAGCACCGTGCCTGCCTGGCAAGCCTAAGGTCCTGAGTTCAACCCCGGTGTTGGAAAAAAATAAAAATAAAATAATAATAATAATAATAAATTGAAGCCAGGTGTAACAATGCCTATAATCCCAGCACTGGGGAAATTGAGGCAAGAGAATCACAAGGTCAGGGCCACCCTGGGCTACACAGTGAGTCAGAGGCCAGCTTGGACTATATGAGGCTCTGTCTCAAAACAAACAAAAAAGTGCAATGTAGCAGACATTCTTTTTCATTGTTGTTGTTGATTTTTGGTTGGTTTTTTTTTTTGGTACCGGGGATCAAACTTGGGTCCTTGCAGTTGCGCAGCAGGCAGTGAAACCACTGAGCTAAATCCCCGGCCCAAAAAACTGCAATATAGTAAAACCTTGGATTGCGAGTAACTTGTTCTGCAAGGGTTGGACAAGATGAGCAAACATTTCTAATAAATTTTAACTTGATAAACAAGCAATGTCATACAATATGAGTACTGTGTAATGCCAACACCACATGATCACAACTGAACCCCAATGCGTTCTCTCTCCCTCCCTCTCTCTCTGTGTGCAGAACTGTGTGTGATCATCTCCCAACAGCAAGAGGTTATGAGGTAGATCTCTCAGGTGCAGAGAACAAAAAGCTAGAGGTATCTCTCACTTCAAATGAGACCCAGGAAGTGTGTAAAATGTGGGAAACAGTGCAAAATTTTGTAGAAAAGCACCACCCGAATAAGATTGTAGCAATACGATTAATGAATCTGTTTAACAACAATGCAATTATCACATTTCTGCAAAATTCTCAAAAGGATCCAAAAGCCAAGTGTCATTGGATAGGTTCCTTGTTAAAGTTCCACAAAAACAAAAAGATTCCACTGAGCCAATAGATTAGCAGTGATTCCGCTGACAGTGAAGTCAGTGAAAGTGACAGTGAAAGTTGTCTCACACAATAACCCTCCTCCCTCACCACCCTCCCACCAGCCATGAAGGTTTGCACAGGTAAGTACAGGTTAATCTATTTGTTTTTCTTTTTATTTTGTGCTTTCTTTATTATTTTGTATTATATTACAGTATTGTAATCATTTGTATATAAGTATTTTGGGGTTGTGGAATGAATCATCTCAGTTTTCATTCATTCTCATGGGAAAATTCACTTTTGATATTCAGTTCGATAAATTCACTTACAAACATGTTTCTAGAACAAATTACACTCGCAAACCAAGTTTTACTATACATGCAAAGAACAATTATCTTTATAACAAAAATCCCAATATCTAGCTACTTTTGTGAAAATATTTTGCTACTAAAGAAACCAGTATTTGAGGCCAGGCATACTGGCATATACCTATAGTTTTAGCTCCTCAGAAGGTTGAGGCAAGAAATCATGAGTTTGAGGCCAGTGTGGGCAACTTAGGAAGACCTTGTCTCAAACTAAAATATCTGGGAAAAGCATCTCTGAACCTACCAAGTAGACATCATGAGCAAAGCTTATTTTCTTGCACTAAAGAAATTTATGGACAAGAAGTCATCACTGAAATTAAATAGTAGCAGATGTATCCAATGGTTATTACGGGGATCTGATCCCTTTATGAATCCTGTGACAGACAAATGTGTGGGGATGGCAACTAGCAAGCAACTGAACAACACTGGACTGGTGGTGATACAAGGAAATAGTATCACCGTATTAGAAGCCTTGGAATGAGCTAAATAATGGCTGTTTGGTAGAGAAATCAATGTCCCCTTTCCAAAGGTCAGTTCCACTATGACAGAAAATGATGTCATGTACATTTTCACATTAAACTGTTTTAATTTTTTTTCCTCTGGTTTTATGAGACAGGGTTTTGTATGTAATTCAGGCTGGCCTTGAACTATGTATCCCAGGCTGGCCTCAAACAGGTAGCAACCCTCTTGCCTCAGCCTCCCAAGTGCTGGAATTACAGGCATGCACCACCATGCCTGGTTTAAACCGTTTTGCTAAATAAACTTTTACAATAGTCAAAAGGGGGCCTTGCGATGTAGCTCAGTGGCAGAGCATCCCATGACTCTATACCCAGTGCTACAGACAAGAAAATAAAAATCATATGTGGCAATAAATGCTCTTCTGTTCAGCACACAAAATTCAGAAATTTTATTTTAAGCAAATGACATTTTCCAGCTGAAAATAAAAAACAAAAATCATAAATAGGTGACTTGGGACCTGTTCTACTAAAGTAACTAGAGACAGCCAAGAGTTCCTTATTTAACACAGTGGATACACTTCACCTGAGTTGTCTGCCGGGAGGTACAGCCCCCTGTGAAGACAGGCCATACTGTTGTAATGTACCACTGTGAACACAGACAAGAAAACCAGAAGGCAGCCACACTGAGATAAATGTGCTGAAACTCCAGAGACCTCTGAATAATGACAAAGGAGAGCAATCTCTTTTTTTTTTTTTTTTTGCAGTACCAGGGATCAAACTCAAGGCACAGTACCACTGAGCTAAATCCCCAGCCCTGTCCTTTTTTTTTTTTTTTTTTGAGGCAGAGTCTTGCTATATATTTCAGGCTGGTCTTAAACTCACTATGTATCCCAGGCTGGCCTTGAATTCATGGAAATCCTCCAGCCTCAGCCTCCCAAGTGCTGAGAATACTTTCATTTTCTTCTTACAAGACTCTGTTTTATCATATCTAAGTCAACTCAAGCAATTAAAGGATGTCTTTTAGGATATCAAGGCACTAATTTACCTGAAGCATGGATTTGGGGTGAGGCAGATCTTCTCCTTGATAAATTTTAATATATGCCTTAGAATATGAACACAAAAACAATTATGAAAAATGCCATTCTGTCATATTTAACTCATACATTAACTTCTGGAAACAGGAACCATACAACCGCTTTTTCCTAAAGACCTACATCAATAACTAGGAATTAGCAAAAAACACAACACATCTTTGAGTGCATGTTAGCATTTTTAGTTATCTAAAAATGTCAAGCAGCACAAGCCTACGAAGGCAAGGGTTCCCAACAGACTCCCCATGCACACTGGCCTCACCACGACCTGTGGACAGAGACCGTCCACCTGGAGGCAGTCGTGTCCCATTTAGGTGCCGTCTCCTACTCACAGCAACTTCCTAACCATCTCCTGTTCACACCATCTTCCTTGAGGAATAATCTTCCTTTAGCCACAGTAACCACTCCTCTAAGAGAGTGAAAGAACATCCATTTGGTTCATAAACCCATACTGCCACCCAGTGGTCCACTCCAGGAGGACACTGAGGTCTCAAAATACCGCCCCCCCCTTCTCCAAGGAAACATGTAAGTTTCAAAAAACTGAAATTCGGGATAGTATACAAGTTAGATCAGCTTTATTAAAAACCAAACAGTTTAAATGTTAAAAACTCACATTTGGCTGGGGATTTAGCTCAATGGTTCCGTCGCTTGCCTTGCAAGCACAAGGTTCCAAGTTCAATCCCTGATACCAAAAAAAAAACACCCCACATTTACCTTAAAATACTCCAACAGTCCCCGGCAGGTGACCTTTGAGCCATTGATCTCCTTTTCCATTAACTTAGATGGATTTAATACATATGGTATTAGTGTCTCCAACTGCTCTTTGAAATCACCAGCAATATCTGTTCAAAGGGCCATGAAACAACAAACAGGAAGCCAAACAGTCTTATCCAACCAGTAGCATAAAACATAATCTTCACAGCCTACTCAATTATTTCAACTTTGTTAGTGCAAAACAGGGAAAAGTGCTCCTGCGCTATGTTTGACACTTTCCTGCTCTGACCAGGTTGCTGATAGATCTTTCTCCTAATGCACCTTTATTTCTCTCCTTCCCTCCGTATAAAGCTGAGTTCAGAATGTGCAAAATATCCTCACCTTGGCTTCCATTCTGAGATATTCAGTCTACTGCCTAGCCTTTCAAGGAATTTCACTTTTTAAAGAATGTCATTAAGGGCGAGGGGTGAGGAGGAGGGGGAAGAGAAAATAAGAATAAAAATATGCCATGTATAGGCACCTAATAACCTCTATTTATAGAAACATTATATGCCATAACATGAGCTAAGATTAATAATATCAAGAATGAAAATCAGGATAGGAGAATTCAAGGAGGAAGGAGGGAAGAGGGGAGAAGGGGAAGGGGGTTAAAAAAAAGAAACAAGCTGTGGTATATATATATGTACAATCATCCCCAAGATGATTATAAACTGCATGTACTGCAAACATGTACTAATAAAGTTTTAAAAGTTAAAAAAAGTCATTAACAAGATCTTCAAAAGCTAACAAAAAACTTCTCAAGTTGTCTCAGGCCTTTGCCACACTCTCCCATTAACCCTTAGAATCAAGTACATCCAGATTCAGTGACACCACTCATCCCAGCTATTTGGAAGGCTGAGGCAGGGGGATTTCAAGTTTGAGGCCAGCTTGGGCAACTTACCAACAAACAAAAACCTGGAAAACATTATTCATTCATTGGCTTTATTTTTGTTAAAATTTTAAAAGAAGTAGAAGCACCTGTACCTCATGCTATTTGTTTTCCAGTATCTCCTCAGAGGCTCTATGGGCCACCTCAAGATGAAAAGATCACTATATGTCAGGAAGGAGAGATTCTTTGCAGGTTCGATAAGGTTCCCATGCAGTTCAGGAGAACCATCAAATAGAGCTCCTTCCTCAAAATGAGAATTAGCTGGTCCTTCTATGATAATTCAGGAGAATTAAAATACAAGGAATTTGATTTCTATAATCATCTAACATCTTCCTGGGTTCCTATCAACTGAAAATAAATGGGCTACAGCCCAAGGTAAGATGAATCTATAAAATTTCAAAAAAAGGGGCTGGGGATTTAGCTCAGTGGTTTCACCACCTGCTGCACAAGTGCAAGGACCCAAGTTCAATCCCCAGTACCAAAAAAAAAAAATTTCAATAAAAGGAGGACAAAGTCTTTATAACTTTGTACTGAAAAAGGATAAAGTAATATACATAATATTTATGCAAATTCATATTTGTTTGCATACACTAAAGAAACTCTGAAAGCTTATAGAGACTTTCCACCAAACATTTTCTAATCCTTTTTGAATTTTAAAAACAAAGGAATGTATTATTTATTAAAAACGTTATGGTTCCAACTTTCATCACACTAAAAGACCATATTTAAAATACACAAAATAAATAAATAAATAAATAAATAAAAATAATACGCACACACAGAACCTAGCAGGACAAAGATACTACAGATTCCTACTCTTACCCAGATTGCCAGATCTTCTGCTATTCATTTTTCTTGGAAAGCTATACCATTCTATTTTCAATCAGAATAGACAAGAACTGTCTCATGACAGAGACAAGCTTAATTTCTCATAATTTCAAAGAACACTGGGTCCTAGATACCCTTCTGTTTAATTTCTAGCTAAACCAATAAGTAGTTACTGTATTGGTCTCCCTGCTGTAGCAAAGAGAAGACAGTTTTCTTTATGCTGATGATACAGTCCCCCTGTGTCTCAAGAAGCAGCTACTCTAGCTAATAACTACAAGCAGCAGCAGTTCAGTGTCCACTGCACCAAAACAAAGAGCATATTGGGGAAGTGTTTACCCCTGAATAGGTGGTCTCTTTTTAAGAAAAAATTAAATAGAGCTAGGTAAGGCAGTGCATGCCCATAATCCCAGCACTCAGGAGGCTGAGGGAGGAGGATTGCTGTGAGTTTGAGGCCAGCCTGGACTACATAGTGAGTTCAAGTCCAGCCTAGGCTACACAGTGAAATCTTGTCTCAAAAAAACCAAAATAAATAACACCCCTAAAAGGATTCCTAAAGTATTTGGGAAACATTTGTAGAAATAGCCACAGAATATAGTGCTTATTAAATTTAAATGTTCTACAGAAACTACATAAAGTTTTTTTATGGATTTCCTTTAACCACTTTCAAGATGTAATCTTTTTTTTTTTTTTTTTGGTACCGGGGATCGAACTCGGGTCCTTGCGCTTGCAAGGCAGGCGACGGAACCAGTGGGCTAACTCCCCAGCCCTCAAGATGTAATCTTTTCTAAGTTATATGGAACAAGACTTCAGAATCTCAATCAAGTAAATGTACGGGTATATACTTGAGAAAATACATCTAACTTTGCCAGCTCTGAGAACTACATTAACTCTACCTACACAACTCTCATAATAAAGTGTGTTGTTTTCAAGCTGGCACCAGCCAAATAACCACAAGTTACCTGCTATTTGCAATTTGGCATCTACTTTTCACTAAAAACCTTTCAATATGGTTGAAAGGCTCCCTAAAATTACAAAATATCAGCCAAGCATGGTAGTGCACACCTGTGATCCCACAATCACAAGTTCAGGGCCAGCCTGGGCAATTTAGTAATTTAGCAAGGATCTGTCCCAAAATAAAAAATAAAGAGAAGGCCCAGTACTGCCAAAAACAGAAAGAAATTACAAAATATCTGTCTCCAAATCTACAGTAACATAAATTAGGGATCTCACTGTGTGAACACTGTAGAGTATATACAAACACAAACCTAGATAGGACAGCCTACTACACACCTAAGCCATACAATAATCTTACCAAACCATCCTGTATGCAGTCCATGGTTGAATGAAATGGTGTTGTGTGGCATATGGCTATAGATAAACCTCTGCACAGCTAGTTAGAATTTGTCACTAAACATCCTCAAAGTAACAGTAAAGAGCCCAGGATTTAGCTCAGTGGTTCTGCTGCCTGCCTTGCAAGTGCAAGGTCCTGAGTTCAATCCCCATTACCAAAATAAATAAATAAATAAATAAATAACATAGTCCCTTAAATAGATACACAAGACAGACTTTTAACATATTGTTTAAGTAAAGCAAAAAAGGCTGATTTTTTTTCAAATTTTCCCATTTAAAAAACGGTATGAGGTGAGATCAACATATATACATATATATAGATATATATATGCACATACACATACAGTGAATGTTTAAATTTTTCAAATGTACTACAGTAAAAGATACATTGTCATTAATCCTTCTCAAGCTACTCCCCTGGCTGCAAACACAGTTATCCCATTATTCCTGCCTTTTTGTTTTTTGGTATCGGGGATCAAACTCAGGACCTTCTGCTTGCAAGGCAGATGTGGTGCCACTGAGCTAAACCCCTGGCCCATTCCTGCCATTTTTTGAAGCAGGTCTGGAAGCCCTCTTTTGTGTCCTTACGGGGGTGTGATCAAAATACAGATAATGGTGCTACTTCGTGTAATTCAATGCAAAGGGAGACTCAGAAATGCAGTGTGTTCTTGCCAGGCATGATGGTGCATTCCTATAATCACAGCACTTGGGAGGCTGAGGCAAAGGCTACCTGGGTTACACAGTGAATTCAAGACAAGCCTGAACTACATAGCAAGACCCTGTCTCAAAAAAAGTCTGTCATCATCCACCTTATTCACCAGATCTGACACTGTGCAACTTCTGGCTCTTCCTCAAAATCATTTTGACAATGAAAGGTAAACGTTTTTAATTGATTCAGGACATCAAGGCAGACACAACAGCAAAACTAAAGACAAGAAAGAGGACTTCCAGAGCTGCTTCGAAAGTGGCAAGAACAATGAGTTAAGTGTGGTCAAAGAAGGGGGGGTATTTTTTTTTTTTTTTTGAGACAGAGTCACACTATGTAGTTCAGGCTGGCTTTGGGCTCACAGCAATCCTCCTGCCTTAGCCTCCCAAGTTCTGGGATTACAGGCATGCGCCACCATGCCTGGCAGGAGGAAGTATTCTGAGGGGTATTAATGACAGTGTGTCTTTTACTGTAATAAATTTTTTTTAAAAAGCTAAACTGGGCCGGACTTTTAGCTCAGTGGTTTCGCCACCTGCTGCACAAGCGCAAGGACCCAACTTTGATCCCCGGTACCAAAAAAAAAAACATAAAAAGATAAACATTCACAGTACTTTTCTTTTTTTTTTTTTCCAGCTGTCAGAATTAAGTTTTAGTTCATGTTTGCACCATTCAGCAGTTGAACAGTTAAATTCATCATCTGAATCACAGTACTTTTCAATCACACCATGTGCATGTGGTATTTATTTATATATATAATTTTTTTTTTTTTGGTACCAGGGATCAAACTCGGGTCCTTGCACTTGGGCAGCAGGCAGCGAAACCACTGAGCTAAATCCCCGGCCCTATATAATTTTTTTTAAAGACAAGGTCTCATTATGTTGTCCAGGCCAACCTCAAAATTCCTCTTCTTCAGCCTCAGCCTTCCAAGTAGCTGGGTTTACAGGCACAAATGCCACTGCAGACAGCATAAATATGTGTGTGTGTGTGTGTGTGTGTGTGTGTGTGTGTGGTGTGTTCAAACAAAAAATATCATGGGCCAGGGATTTAGCTCAGTGGTGCTGCCACCTGCCTTGCAAACACAAGGTCCCAAGTTCTATCCCCGGTGCAAAGATAAATAAATAAATAAACAAAGAAAATCATACCACAGATGCTATTCTGCAATACTTTTACATTTAATAATTTATCACAGCTATGTAAAAACATAATAGATACAAGCATCTACTTTTATCATTTTTTAATGACTGTTTTATTCATTTGTGTAAACATACTATAATTTAACCAATTCCTCATAAACATATATCTGGGCTTTTTCTAGTTATTCCTCTATTGTTTACATTACTTACACACACACACACACATTTTTTTTTTTTTTTTAAGAGAGGATCTCGCTATGTAGCCCAGGCTTGCCTTGAATACACAATCCTCCTGTCTCAGCCTTCCCTGTGCTGGGATTACAGGCATGTGCCATCACACCCAGCTTTATTCTTGTCCATACACTTGTGCCCACTTATTTGGACAATTCCTTAGGATATTCTTCAAAACAAAATACTAGATCAAAGAATATAAACATTTTAAATTTTGACACTGCCGCATTAATATTATAGACCACAACTTATTTATGCTTTTTTGATTATTGTGATACTGCACATATAGTGCTCTGAGGGGGATTATTTTGCTTTTGGAGTTTTTTGTTTGTTATGGTGCTAGGGATTAAACTCAGGTGCTAGGCAAGTGCTGTACCACTGAGCTACATATTTCCAGTTTTGTATTTATTTTTGGACTTGCTTTTTCACATAAGAAGCCTTACATGTTTCTGTCTGCTTGAACCACAAGTGGTACATGCATGACTGTTTCAAACCCCACCCCCCAAAAAAGGGGCTAGGATGTAGCTCAATTAAAGCCCCCAGATTTAATTTCCACTGGAAAGAAAAAAAACCTACAGGGCTGGGGATTTAGCTCAGTGGGTCTGGCGCCTGCCATACAAGTGCAAGGTCCTGAGTTCAATCCCCAGTACCAAAAAAAACACAACATTTATAGGCTTTTTTTTTTGGTACTGAGGATCAAACACGGGACCTTGCGCTTGCAAAGCAGGCAGCAGACCCACTGAGCTAAATCACTGGCCCTATAAATGTATTTTATAGTCTTAGCTTGAAAAGGGAACCAGATTATACATAATTATGAGATTAAAGATTGCTTATATACAGAATGTGTCCTATTTTATAAATGTAATAAACATTACACACTTAATATTTAGTGATTAACCCATTCATAATCTACCTGTAGGTACAGTGGGTTGAACATTATGTCTCTCCAAAATGCATGTCCATCTGGAACCTCAGAATGTGACCTTTTTGGAAACAGTCCTCACAAATTTAATTTAGCTAAAAATGAGATCATAATGGATTAGAATGGCCCCTAAATCAAAGACTGGTATACTGATAGGAAGAAGACAGAACAGAGAAGGCAGTCCCATGTGACTACTAAGAGATGCAACTTACAGAACCACAGCCAATGAATGCCGAGGATTGCTAACAACTAACAAAAGCTAGAGAAAGGCACAAGACAGGTTCTTCCTTCAAAGGGAACCAACCATGATTTCAGACTTCTGGTATCCTAAACTGTGAGGGAATAAATTTGTTGTCTTAAGCCACTCAGCTTGTGGTAATGGTTAAAAGCCAGACACAGGAAATTAATATAATATGTATCCTCAAAAGTAATACAAAATTCTCAAAGTCAGGGTTACAGAACTTTTTTAAAAACTGCCTGTTTCCTGAATTAAAATGATAAAATGAAACTGAATTTCAAATTTGAAAACACTAAAATGCATGTGTGGCTATACTACTCTGGCCTGATCTCATGTTAAATGTTAAAATGCTTAAAATACAGAAGAATGCCATTTTTGTATGCTTACATGTGAAACCCTGAGACCACCATAAGGCAAAAAGGGCATGAAAAGTCACCCTAACCCACCATCTCCTAAATGTCCCCTTTTCAGAATTTCCCTATCAGAGATGAAAAATTCAGAGTTTATGTTTGTAGAAGTATGGCTAATAATGGAGTATTATATATAAGAATATATTTCCTATATACATACCCATGCAAATATACACTCAACGGTCTCTCCCTACTTGACTTTGAAAAGAACCTTGTTTGCTAATCAGGATTTCTCTCCCAAAGCCAGGCCCTAGTTTTGGATGTTTTAATTACCATAACAAGGTCTGGAAGTTTCCTCCTCAGAAAAGTTGTCAACCACTGAAAAACATCAAACAGCCAGGCATGGTGGCACACACCTGTAATCCCAGTACTCAAGAGGCTGAGGCAGGAGGATCACCACAAATTCAAGGCCAGCCTGTGCTACATAGTAAGCATAAGACCAACCTAAACTACAAAGCAAGACCATATCTCAAGAAACAAAAAGGATGCCAGGGGTTTAGCTCAGTGGTTCTGGCACCTGCCTCAAAATCGCAAGGTCCTGAGTTTGATTGATCCCCGGTACCAAAAAAGAAAACAAAAACCCAAAACCAAAACAAAAAAACAAACAAAAAAAGAAACAAAAAGGATGCCAGGGGTAAGCACAAGCCCAAGTTCGATTCCCAGTACCAAAAAATCAAATAAGTGACAAAGAGAAGGTAAAGTTTCTCAAACTTGGTTTCTTTCATAATACTAAGACCAGCTAGAATATAAATCTTGAGTTGTATAAATACATTAATTTTCTTGAGTCAACTAAATCAAATAAAATGAAAGTGATATACTGTATTTTATATTTAAGTCTATGAAAACTTCTATTCCCAAAGGCAAGTTCTTCTGGTAACTAAACAGTGTATATCCTTTAAAAGACTTCCTCCAAGCAACAAAGAACTTCTATTTCACCACAATGTCGCTCTGGGGCAAAAAGCCCTGGATGTGAATCTCTGCCTGATCACTTTTAGCTGAGCACTTTGTGTGAATTACTTAATTTTCTTCATTTTTGCCAATTTCCTCATTTGTAAGATAAAGGAAATGATACCAACTTCATGGAGTTATTGGAAACCTTTGTATAAAAGGCCCCTTCCGCCTGCTGCGCAAGCGCAAGGACCAGAGTTCAATCCCCGGCACCAAAAAAAAAAAAAAAAAAAAACCAAAAGGACCCTTAACAGTGCTGGGAACTCATCAGGGCCTCCAAGAGTGGCAGCTGGTATTATTACCACTTTACAGGACACGTGAGGAGCTCAGGGAAGTTTCTACACAAAGTGCTCTGTTTAACACACATAAACTAAGGCCTCGATGAATAAAGGACAAAAGTAAGATAAGGACCTCAAGAGTCCCAGCTCTGCTTCCTCCAACATACTACAATCTAGGCAGCACTTCCTGAAATTAACGCACGACCCAGCAATAGGTTCTGCTATACCACAAGAAAGATGGAAACAATAGCTAGGCCATGCATCGTGATACCTTTCAGTGGGAAGATAACTGTACTTGATAAATATTAGCTGACTTAGATTTAGTTCTTTATTTCAGCACTTTTATCTCTTGTAAACCAATAACCATAAGATGTTTCTAGAAAGACTACTGATAAGCCAGGTGTGGAGGCACATTTCAGTACTCTGGGTGGCTGAGGCAGGAGGAAAGTTTGAGACCAGCCTGGACAACTTAATGGACTTAGCGAGACCTTGTCTCAAAGTAAAAAATGTGCTGGGCACATAGCTCAGTGAGGATGTGGGTTCAATCCCCAGTACTACAGAACAGAACCCAAGTGTGGTGGTGCACACCTGTAATCCAAGCACTCAGAAGGCTGAGACAGGAAGATCACTGTGAGTTCAAGGCCCACTCAGACTACATAATGAGTTTAAGGCCAGCCTGAAATACAGTGAGACCCTGTCTCAAAAAAAAAAAAAGACAGGAAAAGAAGGAAGAAAGGAAAAAGGAAGGAAGGGAAGGAGGAAGAAAGATCACTGATGGATGGATAGAACCACCATAATTTCAGATAAAGAAACAGATGTAGGGCCGGGGATTCAGCTCAGTGGTTTCGCCACCTGCTGTGCAAGCACAAGGACCCGAGTTCGATCCCCGGTACCAAAAAAAAAAAGAAACATATGTAAACTAATTCTGATGGTCACAGTAAATTAGGAGCAAAATATGAACTAAACTCTAAATACTCTTTCTCAGAGACCATGATATTTCTCTTAAGCATTCACATTTTTTTTTTTTTTTTTTTTTTTTTTTTGAGAAATGAACACATAACCTCTCACATGCTAGGCAAGTGCTCTACCACTGAGCTACATTCCAGCCCAAGCATTTTTGTTTGCTTTTAGCGCTGAGGATTGGACCCAGGACCTTTGTACCCAGGACCTTACTTTTTTTTTTTTTTTTTTTTTTTTTTTACACAGAGTCTTGCTACGTAGCCCAGGCTGGCTCTGAATTCACAGTGATCCACCTGTCTAAGCCTTCCAAGTATTAAGATTACAGGTGTGCACCACTACGCCTAGCTAGCATTCACTTGATTCTTAATTGACATTTACTGGTTATTTAATTCCACAGACCAAGTCACATGTTTGGAATAACAACATCTATAACACACCTTTCAATTTCCCATCAAAGTCAGGGCTTGTGGCCACTTGGAGTCCTGGATGTGGTAACAGAAAACAGGTGACATCAGAGAAACATGAGTGAATGTGATTTCGAACATTCTGAATTTCTTCATGTTGATGTTCTTTCACCTGCCAACAAAGACCAACAATTTACCAACCAAAGGCTATTTGGTGTTCTTCACCAGGAATCACCAGTGTGAGAACAAAGAAAAGAAGACTTTCCCAACTCTGAGGGAAAACTCAGAACCCTAAGAAACAATAATTGCACAAGTGTGATTAACTACACTTGGCTCCTATAGTTAACTAAAGACAGGTACTAAAGAGTTTGTTTGTTTGTCTTTTAAAAAAGTATTAAGGGGCCAGGGATTTAGCTCAGTGGTTCCACCGCCTGCCTCGAAAGCCCAAGGACCCAAGTTCCATCCCCCATACCAAGAAAATAAAAAAAAAAATTTTTTTTAAGTATTACATAATGCTTAAGAACAAAAGCAGGTTTGTAGACAGGAAGGAGGATCGAGCTATGTCTGACAAAGGACTCCTGTGCTTTGTTTTTTGGGGAACAGGATAGGTTTGTTTATATCCATGCTAAAGCAAATAAGAATTTAACAGAACTACGAAGCATGGTAGTACATGCCTATAATCCCAGCACAGGAGAGGCTGAGGCAGGAGGATCACTGCCAAGTTCAAGGCCAGCCTGGGCTACAGAGTGAGTTCAAGGCTAGCCTGGACTATACAGCAAGACCCTGTTTTTTAAAAAAAAAAAAAAAAGAACTAAAATTCTGAATGTGACATTCTAAAGGCCCATTAAGCTGAGCATGGAGGCACATATCTGTAATCTCAACACTTGGGAGGCTGAGGCAGGAGGCTGGCTGTGAGTTTGAGGCCAGCAACTATGCAGCAAGACTCTCCCTCTAAATAAATAAAGGCACATTAGATCCTGATTTAAAATGTGAAACAGAAATTATAATTATACTTAGGCTTTTGACTAGAATTGTTCTCTATAATCCCTGGACATTATATACCCATGTCCTTTAATTTTATCACGAATAAATAATATTCATTTACACTAATATTCATACATATTTAACACGCATAGTATCATTTTCAATAATCTGCTTTAAATTCAATATCCAAAGGTAAATTAGAAAGTCATTAATACATTTAGGTAATTCCACACCACAAATTATTCCTTCTTACCTGTAAACGTTTATCCAAAAATGCCATCCCTCCTTGTAGTCCATAGTTATACTCATAAGGGAAACTCCAGTCTCGAACCAGAAACATGAGTGTCTATTTAGGAAGAGAATAAAACATATTATGACTTTGCATAAATGCATTTTCAAGATAGTAATTGCAATATTTGTGCAAAGACCCGAGTTTGATCCCCAGTACCAAAAAAAATAAATAATTGCAGTATTTGTCTGCACAATCCCAATTTCTCCAAAGGGGGCAAGGTTATGTGCTGAAAGATTTATCTATTCCATAATACAGAAACTTTATAAACATTAGAAGGACATGTTTAAGGCAAATATGAAGTCAATATATCTCAACTGCTAGTTTCATCCTCAACAGACTGTTGAGACAACGTAAATTTGGGGGTCTACCCTAAAGGCAAGTAGGGAGAACTTAGTAAAGGACAAGAGAGCAAACAAAGTGGCACCAACCAAAAATGAGATCTGCTATTTATATTAGAAAGAAAAAGAAACAGTGCAGTTTGGCAGGCACCTGTAGTACTATCTGAACGCCCCCAAAAAGGGAAAAGAAATAATGATTACATATTAAGGACTGCTAGCCTCACTGAGGATAAAGCACAGGTCAGCAAATGTCATCTAGTAAGAGCCAGAGAGTAAATACCTTAAGCAGCTCCTGAGTTCTGCTGTAGTAGCAAGAAGGCAGGCACAGCTGACACATAAACAGATAAGTATGCTGTATGCTACTAATATTTTAGGTATGGATGCTGACATCTGAACTTCAGGTAATTTACACATTATGAAATATTCGTCTTTTCATTTCTTTTTCATCCATTAAAAATACAAAAGCTAGGGCCAGGGATTTAGCTCAGTGGTTCTGCCACCTGCCTTGAAAGCATAAGGTCTCGAGTTCGATCCCCAGTGCAAAAAAAAAAAAAAGCCAGGACTTGGGATGTCCCTTAATAATTAAGCAAAGCACTTGCCTACTAGCACACATGAGGCTCTGGGTTTGATCCCCAGCACTACACAAAATGTATATATACATATATAAAAGCCATCTTTGGGCCGGGGATTTAGCTCAGTGGCACCGCACCTGCCTGGCAAGTGCAAGGTCCTGAGTTCGATTCCCAATACAAAAAAAAAAGCCATCTTTAGTTCATAGGTAATAAAAACAAACAGAAGGACAGATTTAACCTATGAGCTGTAGTTTGATGATATGTAAACTAAAACAAAGATATGAATTACAATCATAGTTAATATTCTACCTGGAAGGGTTTTTGGAAAATTTCATCCATTGCCAGACGACCATATTCTGTGAAGAGCTTTAAAAAAGAAAATTTGCTTTATAATCAAAATTATTTTAAATACTTCTATGCTATCCTTTAGCAAAGTGCTCATTTAACAGACTAGATATTACTTATATTGAAACCAAGTTCTATAGTTTATAAAGCCCACAGGAAGTCAGCCATGGTGGTGCATGCCTGTAATCCCAGCATTTGGGAGGCTGAGGCAGGAGGGTTTCTGTGAGTTTGAAGATACCCTCAGCTACATAGTGAGTTTAAGGCCACCTTGAGCTACATAGCAAAACCCTGTCTCAAAAAACAAAAAGTGCACAGGAGCCATGAACCTTAAAATAATCTTGATTATTCCTTGCTCTCACATTCCACATCACAATACACCAGCAAATCCAAAATTCAGTCACTCACTAATTCCACAAGGTCCAGAATACTGCAGTAATCTCCCAACTAGTCTTTCCACTTCAGCCCTGGCCTCCCTAGACTTTTCTCAAGACAACAGCCACAGTGGCTGTTATATGGTTAGATAATAGCACCCTCTGCTTGACCCTGCACCCTCAGTATTAAAGCTAGTCCTTCCAGTGTAATCCAGCCTTACTGTCCCCCTTGCTGTGTCTGAAACACACTGGTCACACAGCTGTCTCACAGCCTCTGTCTTGGCTCTTCCCTTTGCTTTGTTTGTTTGGTTTTTTTTGAGACAAGGTCTCGCTGTGTAGTTCAGGCTGACCTTGAACCTACTATATAGCCGAGGCTGGTCTCGAACTCATGGCAATCTTCCTGCCTCAGCTGCCAGAGTGCTAGGATTACAGGCATGTACCACCACACCCAGCCCCTATGCTTTTAATGTTTCTCCCCTAGATATCCTTGATCAGTTGCCTCACTTCTTCAAATCTTTACACAAATGACTTCTTTTCAAGGAGCCTTCTGTGGCCAACCACCTAAAAAGAAAAGATTACAGCCTTCCACATAGTCTTTCTGCCCCACTCCCCCAGTACTGGGGATTGAACTCAGGACCTTGTGCTTGCCAGGCAGGCGCAGCACCACTGAGCTACATCCCCAGCCCATTTTTCTTTTTTAATATGTTTCCAGTACGTACATGCAGTTTACAATGATCTTGGGGAGTGGTTACATGTACATACTACAGCTTGTTTCCTTTTTTTAATTCCCTTTCCTTCCCTTCCCTCCCTCCTCCAACTTTCCTATCCCATTTTTCATTCTTGTTGATATTACTAATCTTAGTTCACATTATGGCATATTATGTTTACATTAATTGAGGTTATTACCATATAGTATTTACTTGTGTTCCTTTTTTATTTTTTTCTCCCTAACACTCATCACTGTCTAATGTACTGCACCTTTACTTGCCTTCACTAGGATCTACCTTTACAATGAGCATTTAATTCCCACAAGGACAGAAACATCTGACTATCTTGTGCATTCTATATGTCCAGCGCAAGAAATATACTGGGCCCATAGTATTTACATCATTCAAATGACTGAATGAAGGGGACTAGTGACGGGGTGAAACATACATTTACCTCTATTTCTTCATGAAGCCTCAGCCCACTAAAACTATAACAAAATGAAGTTTACAAGTTATAAACTCACAGAGCAAAGAGGATGGGAAATAGTATGATAACAAAAAGAGTTGTCAAAATTTTTGAAGGAAAAGAGACAGATGAGAATTGTTGAATTTTAGCTTCTCCTCTCCTGCGAAGAAATCTAGAAGACAAAGCCAGGCATGGTGGCACATGTCTGTAATCCCAGCACTTAGGAAGCTTAGGCAGGAGGATTGCTGAGTTTGATGCCAACCTGGGCTACATAGTGAGTTCAAGGTTAGCTTGAACTACATAGTGAGACCCTGTCTCAAAAAAAAAAATCTAGGAGGCAGGGGCCAAAAAGAAGTAAGCAGATTCTCTCAAGAGAATCCCTAGAAGGCTCGGATATTATAAACATGTAATTACCTTACAAGGGAAGCATGGGAGAGGAAACGGCAAAGAAATAATTCCAAATTTCTAGAGAACGCATCTATAGCTCCAGATCCAAATCCTCACCCAGCCCCATGCTCTTCTGACCCCTACAAAAGATGCTAAGTGTACTAACTAGAGAAGATACAAACAAACCTTAGCCTTGGAAACCAAACTCAACTGAAGTAGGAAACAGCTTAGAAACATACTTAAGTGAAAGTGTACATACTGAACAGCAAGACCAAGCCTGCTCATCCTACTGGGGGTTTAAAAGGTTTAAAGAAATACTCTCGGGGGAAACTGACAGTCCAAGAATAAACTTGCTCTGGACAGAGATTTAGCTCAGTGGTGCTGCGCCTGCCTTGCAAGCGCAAGGTCCTGAGTTCAATCTCTGCTACAGGAAAAGAACAAAAAAAGAATAAACTTGCTCAAATACAGACATTTAGGAGTTGGCAAGAAAATAGCTAGGTAATCTTGCCCTGTCACAAGGTCCACCCTCACCACAGCTCCCACTGGGATTCATAGTGGCTCTTTCTTAAATACAGGAATCCAAGGGATACCAGATATTGGAGAAAAGCCTTTAGCAGAAAAAAAGAAAATCCATGTCCTTCAATTCTAGAGCATCAGCTTATATTATTCTCTTTATGATTTCTTTCCCTTCATTTTCTCTGTTCTCTTACTAAATACCCTTTGCTAAATACCTATTATTAACATGTTAAACCTCTGATGAATTCTTTTTTCTTTGTGTGCCCTTCTCCACTTCCCCTCCACCTTCGCCCCCTTATTCTTCCCTTTCTCATCCCTCCCCATCTTCTATCACTCTCCTTTTTTCTCTTCTCTTTCACTGTCCTTCCTAGTGTCTGCTCTGTATCTTTATTCAAATTGTTGAATAAGTTTTCTCCGATTTATATTCTGATTATTCCTCTATTGAATTTTTTATTTGTGCTGTTATAGTTTTAATTTCCAAGAGCTCTTTATTGTATTTTTTTAAGGGCTGGTGATTTTATTATCATTATTATTGTCTACTCTCACACCCTGGAACACTGCTACACAGTGGATGCTTCTTAAATATGTGCTCAGCAGAACAATACAATCAGTAAGCCCTATTTAACTGCTTGCTACTTGGGGCATGGGTGCAAAACTCTACTCCTTCCTTGTCTGATTTATACTCCCGTCTTCATTTTTCTTTGCGTCCTTAAGGTAAGCCCAGCGTGAAACTGAAGCACAGGGGGCACTGGTATATAGTAAGTTCCACAAGCACAGTAGATACTCAATGTGCATTACGAGATTACAAAATAGATGCAAACTGGATTTCCAGAAGAGCAGTTAGTATCCTTGGCATATAGTTAGGCCTTACCACTCAATGGACAACTGACACATTGGCTAAGGCTAGAAAGGAACTAAAATTCGTGCAACCCCTCCAGGCAAGAGAAAAACATCTTGCAAACCCAGCTCTGCAAAGTCCTTTTACAGTATCTTATTTCTTTCTTTTTTTTTTTTTTTTTTGGTACCAGGGATTGAACTCGGGACCTTCTGCTTGCGAGGCAGGCAGCGGAACTGCTGAGCTAAATCCCTGGCCCAATCTTGTTATTTCTTAATTGCAACATCTTATCTCTCTGAAAATGATTTACAAAGAAAGAAAATGAAACTCAAACTAAGATACATTACCATGAAAACAGGGCATAGGCCAGGGATTTAGCTCAGTGGTTCCGCCACCTGCCTCGCAAGTGCAAAGACCCGAGTTCGATCCCCAGTACCAAAAAAAAAAAAAACATGAAAACATGGCAAAAATAAGATCTTACTAGCTCCAGAAACAAAAAGGTCACATACAAATGATCAGGAATGAGATAGTGTAAGACTTCAGGAGCAACACTGGAAGCTATAAGACAATGAAGCAATGCCTTCATAATCCTAATAGAAAATTAGTTCCATTCTCTACTTCTAGGATTAGACTAAAATATGCTCGTATTTAAGACCTCAAAAAAGTTACCTTCTATGCATCCTTTCTCAGGAAGCTACTAGAGAATGAGTGTAATTGAGGAGTGAATAATTAGAAGATTAAATAGGACCCAACTAAGGTGGAAATTGAAAAGAAATTGCCAGGATTGTAGCAAAGAAAGCATTGAATGACAATTGTGTCTATAAGAGGCAATGCAGACTACAGCAGGGCTCAGTGCCCAGGAGTTAGGTCTCCCACGGGAAAGATAAAACAAGGCTTACAATTAGATGGTGCTTCAAAGTGTTACAAATCTGTGGGTGCATTAGTAATCAGCATAAAGAAAAGTAAATTGAAATGCAAAAGACAATGAAGGTAATTAATTACAAGAAATATAATCAGAGTTTACAATGGGCCTATAAAGAACATGTACAAGCAGCATTCACGGGTCCAGGAGCCCCAAAGACACCAAATCTGCAGATCCTCAAGTCCCTTACATAAAGTAGCAAAGTATTTGCATATAACCTACACATATCCTTTAAGTCATCTCCAAATTACTTACAATGTCAAATTCAAAGTAAATGCTATGCCTCAGGAGGATGAGGCAGAACTGCCATAAGTTCAAGGCCAGCCTGGGCTACTTAGTGAGTTCAAGGCTAGCCTGAACTATATAGTGAAAAACTGTCTCAAAAAAAAAAAAGAAAAAAAAGAAAAAGTAAATGCTATGTAAGCAGTCATTATGCCATATTGTTTTAGGAATAATGACCCTTCAAAAAAAAAAAAGAAAAGAAAAGAAAGAAATAGCCTGGGCATGTTCAGTATAAGCTCAATATTTTTTCAAATATTTTCAATCCAAGGTTGGCTGAATCCATGGATGAGAAACCTTTGGAAATGGAGGCCCAACTACATACAAGGTGCGATTAAAAAAAAAATATGGTGAATGTCTGAAGTTCAAAAAATTTATTACAGTAAAAGACTCACTGCTGTTAATACTTCTCAAAACATTCCCCCTCACTTTGAACCCACTTAGCCCATCATTCTTGTCACTCTCTTAAGTAGTTCTGGAAGTCCTCTTTTGTGAGTGTCTTTACAAGGTGTGATAAAAAAAATGTGAAGGCTAGGGATTTAGCTCAGCGGCACAGTGCCTGCCTGGCAGGCGCCAGGTCCTGAGTTTCATCCCCATACAAAAAAAAGAAAAAAGTGCCGGGGATTTAGCTCAGTGGTACCACACCTGCCTCACAAGTGCAAGGTCCTAAGTTTGATCCCCAGTATCTAACAAAAAAAAATGTGATATAACTATTGAAATAAAAGAGGAAGGATGGGTTGAAGGATGGAGAAAATAAAGAAAATTAAATCTTAATTTAGTATAAGTTATCAATATCTAAATTTTTTAAATCAGAAAGGAGCAGTATAAACATGTTCTTAGGCTGGGTATGGTGGCACACGCCCGTAATCCCAGCACTCAGGAGGCTAAGGCAGGAGGATTGCCATGAGTTCAAGGTCAGCCTGAACTACACAGCGAGATCCAGCCTCAAGAAAAACAAATCTAGAACCGGGGCTAGGAGACAGCCCTGCCTGAAACCTCAAGTTACACTCTTAATAACACCACAAAATAAATCTAGAAGTACACAGCATACAACAAAAAGCACTGTAAGTAGCTGCCTCTAAAGAAAGGTACTAGATAGTACAGCCCTTATGGAAAATAGTGTGGTGGTTCCTCAAAAAAATTAAAAACAGAACTATCACATGATCTAGTAATCCCACTACTGAGTATATATCCAAAAGAATTGAAATCAGTATGTCAAAGGTGTATTTCTACATGTAATGACTATTATTCTTTCACACTCCATGTGTCTCAGGATTAAAATGGAGAGCTGATGACCCCTGAATCTTGCTTTCCTTTGTGACTTCTAAACCATTATTCTCCACTGTCCTGCAAAAAGCTTATTCCTTTAGGATCTTTAGCACTTTGTATACTTATCTTTTTCCCTCCTTCCTCATCACTATCCATCTACTAACTACTGGTCCTTCCCTCTCACTGGGAACTTTAACACCTATCCTTATCCTCTGACATTTTTCCTCCACCAAAATAGGGATTTCTGTTCAATCCCTGCCTCACAACTCCTTGACAACCAACTTCCAAGATCTTTTCCACTCCAATATATCCACATCTTGGACTCTGTCACCCATAGAAGTTCTACCACCAAAGTCAAAAATTCAAGCATTCTACTCTTATTACCATTTCTTCAACCTTTTAAAAAAAACTATTAAACTATTCCCATTATTACTATTCTTTGCCCTCACCAAGACTTCCATTCCAATGACGCCTCTACTTCCCCTTCCAAACAGATCCTCTTCCAGAATTCCCTTTCTCAATCTAGAAGTATACAAGTTATTCATAACATCTCTATCTCAACCCCCAAACTCTCACTTCAGAGTATGTAACTGCTGCATGTACCACAAAGAGTATTTTTACTAGATTAAATACTTAATATACAGAAAATTTTAAATGTGTTTCACTGGGAAAAAAATCTGTTCAGAACAAGGCAGCCAGTGATCTTTTTACAGTAACTCCTAACATCATTCCTCTGCTCAAAACTCTCTTGGCTCCCATCTCCCCCAGAGGAAAAGCTCAAACCCCACATGACATAGACCTCAGTGCCTCTCTGACTTCATCACTTAGCCCCTTCCATCACATACCCCAACCCAACCTATCAGTCACCTTGCTCCACTCCACCTCAGATCATCCTTGCTGCTCTCTCTCCTTTAATACTTTCCCCAAGACTTACCTCAATGACTTAATTACCCACTTTCTTCTATTCTTTGCCCAAATCAGTAAGGCCTTTCTCTGACCACTCTGATCCACCTCATCAATATACACACAGAGTACAGGATTACTACAAATAAAAAATCTTCCCTCACATTCCAACTGTTTACTAAAAACTAACCAATTATTTTTCTTTGCGGTACAGGGGATTGAACTCAGGACCTTGAGCTTGGCAGGCAGGCACAGTGCCACTGAGCTAAATCCCCGGCCCTTATTTTTCTTAATCTTAAAAGTTTAACATGATATAATATAATGTTAAAATATATGAGGAATATATACCTGCAGCTGTTGAAGATCATCTTCCTGAATGTTCTGGGACAAATTGTATATCTAGAAAACAAGAATCCAGATTGATACTACTCTGGCTTACTTCAAAGGAATCCCGAACAAGTCTACAGCACTGAACAGAAGCTTTGTACACTTAAAGATTTGTATACAAGAATATGAAGCTGGGCCGGGGATTTAGCTCAGTGGTTCCACCACTTGCCTAGCAAGCACAAGGACCCGAGTTCGATCCCCAGTACCAAAAAAAAAAAGAATATGAACCCTATTCAATAGTAATATTATCTGTCTGTTGGAAAACTATAAGGCTTAAACCATGAAATTTTTCTTAGTTTTCTTCAGTGCTTACCAAATCTACATTTTCTATATGACATAACTGATGTAATTTCAATTTCCATGTTTTTGGTTTTTTTGGAAAAATGTTATATACAATTTACCACCAAAGCAAAAAAATAATTTAGCTCCTCTTGAATATCTAAGAGCTTAACATACATAAAAAGAGTATTTCTATATCACCAAAGAAATCTTGTTAATAAAACAGTAACTAAGGACCAGGGATTCAGTGGTTCTGCTGCCTGCCTGGCAAGCGTAAGGACCCGAGTTCAATCCCCGGTACCAGAAAAACCAAAAGCAGAAAAAACCAGTAACTAAAACTAGATGTTCTTCATTTACTGCATTTCCTTTTTTATTTCCAACTCAAGTGGTTTTACCTGAACAGAACTAGTCATGGTGCTCAGAGCAAAGATGGTAGCACAGTCTTTCACAGTTGACTGACTGTCAAATGCCCCCTGGGTATCCATCAGAACAACTGCAACCTAAAAAAGAAAAGAAAGAAACACAAATGGGCTGAGCATGGTGGTGCACACCTATAATCTCAGTACTTGGCAGGCTGAGGCAGGAGGATCACTGAAAGTTCAAGGCCATCCTGGGCTACATAGTGAGTTCAAGACTAGCCTTAACTACATAGCCAGACTCTATCTCAAAAAACATAAAAACAAAAAACACACAAATGGGTTAAAGTGAGAAGTAGGGATATGTAAAGGACATATTTGTTACATGAGCCTTAAGTCCCTGCCCACAGGTCCCAGAAAAGTGCAGTTACTTAGGTGCCTTGCTCTGATTCAAGCACTTTGCAGGAGACAATGTGTTCTGCCCTGGTAAGATGCTACAAAACAGGCATACAGAACATGGACTGCCCTATAATCAAAAAGCCCAACAGTGAAGTCCATTAGCTCACTATTACCCAATTAGCCAACTAGCACCATTAGCCAGCCATTCAATGTTTTTGTTGTTGCTGATAACGTTGAAAAACAAATTTAAAATACTGACTTAAATTTAATCTTTTTTTTTTTTTTTGAGACAGGGTCTCACTATGTAGCTCAGGCTGGTCTTGAACTCACTATGTAGTCCAGGCTGGCCTCAAACTCATGGCAATCCTCCTGCCTCAGCATCCCGAATGCTGGGATTACAGGCATATGCCACCATGCCCAGGAAGTTTAATCTTATGTGCTGAGATATTTTTGTCATTTATCTACAAGGCTACATTCATTTCTTGAATTTCTAAAGTTTCCTGCTTGGGCTGGGGATTTAGCTCAGTCGTTTCGCTGCCTGCTGCACAAGCGCAAGGACCCGAGTTTGATCCCTGGTACCAAAAAAATAAAATAAAATAAAATAAAATAAAATAAAATAAAATAATAAAGTTTCCTGCTTATTTGACATAAGAAAATTAACATTTATTTCAACTTTCACAAAAGACAGAATACAACAAAGATGCCACTGAGTCTAGGCTACCACTGCTCTCTATAAAATACAACAAGAGGGCTGGGGATTTAGCTCAGTGGTTCCAAGGTCCCAACTTTGATCCCCAGTACCAAATAAATAAATAAATGCATACCTACATACATACATACATACAACAAGGGTGAAGGGAGAGGAAGGGAGGGGAAAGGAAGAAAATCAAATTAAGATGTGTTCTGTACATATGCCGATTCCCCATGATGAATGTAACCATTATGTATATACTGCAAACATGTACTAATAAAAATTTTAAAATAACGATAATATACAACAAGGCTTTATGAAACCTTAGGTTTTCTAAAATGGCTAAAGAGTCTATTGCACTCAAAAAAGGAGATTTATGCAAAATGTTAAAATACTTTATAATCCTCACATGACTTGCTATTCACCATTCAGAGTCATATAATTTAAACATAAATCTTCAAATCTGTGCATAATGTAGGCAGTTCAAAGAGAGGACAAAGTTTAACACACTCAGAAGATAAGTACATTTGGAAGCCAGGCATAGTAGCACACACCTGCAATCCCAGCACTAGGGAGGCAGAGGCAGGAGGATCCAGGAGAGTTCGAGGCCAGCCTGAACTACAAAGCCAGACCTTGTCTCAAAAAAAAAAAAAAGGGCCAGGAATTTAGTTCAGTGGTTCGCTGCCTGCCCTGCAAGCACAAGGGCCAGAGTTCAATCCCCAATACCAAAAATAAAGTAAAATAAAATAAAAAATTAAATTCATCAAATAAATGTCTGACTTCACTGAAACCTAGATTATTGCAAAAGCCAGCAGGGAAGCTTTTGTGAGATTCTACTGAGCCCAAGAAGAGAAATTTCATATTCAAAAAACACTTTAAAATAAGATTTACAGTAATAAATACAAGGGCCAGGGATTTAGCTCAGTGGTTTTGCCACCTGCTGCGCAAGCACAAGGACCCGAGTTTGATCCCTGGTACCAAAAAAAAAAAAAGTGAAAAGGCAACCCACAGAATGAGAATAATGTCTAGTATTTGGAATGTATCAGGAACTTCTACAACTCAAAAACAAAGACAAGAGCCAGATGTGGTGCCACATGCCTGTAATTCCAGCTACTCAGAAGGCTGAGGCAGGAGAATCCCATTAAGAGCAATCTGGGCAACTCATCAAGGCTATCTCAAAAGTAATTTTTAGGTTTGGGGATTTAGAACAGCGGTTCCGCCACCTGCCACACAAGCACAAGGTCCTGAGTTCGATCCCTGGTACCAAAAAAAAAAGTAATTTTTAGAGCTGGGGATTTAGCTCAGTGGTTTCACCGTCTGCTGCACAAGTGCAAGGACCTGAGTTCAATCCCTGATACCAACAAAAACAAAAGTAATTTTTAAAAGGCTGAGGTTATGGCTCAGTGGTAGAGCATTTGCCTAGCAACCATGAAGCCCTGGGTTCAATCCTCAGTACTACAAAAAAAAAAATACCTTCTTTAAAGAAATAAAAAGATAACCCAACTAAAATATGGATTTGATTTGAATAAACATTTCTCCCAAGAAGATATTGAAATGGCCAATAAGCATAGAAAAAGATATTCAATACCATTAGACATTAAGGAAATGCCAATCAAAACCACCATTCGACCCACTTCACACCTGACAGATTGGCTAAATCAAAAAGTATCAGGTGTTGGCAAGGCTATTTGAAGTCCACAAGTTTGAGGTCCACCTGGGCTACACAGAGCTCAAGGCCAGCCTGGACTACAAAGTAAGACCCTATCTCAAAAAAAAGAGAAAAGTTTTGTGTATCGGTATAAAATAATCTTTAGGTTATTCAGGTGAGAAAAAGATAAAAATGGAGGGCTGGGGATTTACCTCAGTGGCACTGCACCTGCCTCGAAAGCACAAGGTCTTGAGTTCGATCCCCGGTACCAAAATATATAT